GAGGCCGCGGACACCCCGGGGCCCGGATCCCCAAAGCCTGGGGTCCCCGGGACCCGACGGCTCCGCGCTCAGCCCGGCCGGCGCTGCTCATGTGGAGCCCGACGAGGTGGACAAGTTCAAGGCCCGGTTCCTGACCGCCTGGAACAATGTCAAGTATGGGTGGATGGTCAAAAGCCGGACCAGCTTTAGCAAGATCTCCAGCATCTACCTCTGTGGGCGCCGCTACCGCTTTGAGGGTGAAGGTGACATCCAGCGTTTCCAGCGGGACTTTGTGTCCCGCCTGTGGCTGACCTATCGCCGGGACTTTCCACCCCTAGCTGGGGGCTCCCTGACCTCAGATTGTGGCTGGGGATGCATGTTACGCAGTGGTCAGATGATGCTGGCCCAGGGCTTGCTGCTGCATTTCCTGCCCCGAGATTGGATGTGGGCCGAGGGTCTCGGCCTGGGCCACCCTGATCTGCCTGGCTCGGCCTCCTCTAGCCCTGGCCGAGGCCCTGCCTGCTGGATGCCCCCACGCTGGCCCCGGGGCGCCCCTGAGCTGGAGCAGGAGCTGAGGCACCGGCAGATCGTGTCCTGGTTCGCTGACCACCCCCGGGCCCCCTTTGGCCTGCACCGGCTGGTGGAGCTTGGGCAGAGCTCGGGCAAGAAGGCGGGTGACTGGTATGGGCCGTCACTGGTGGCGCACATCCTCAGGAAGGCTGTGGAGAGCAGCTCGGAGCTCACCCGCCTGGCCGTGTATGTTTCTCAGGACTGCACAGTATACAAGGCGGATGTGGCACACCTGGTGGCCAGCCGGGACCCAGCAGCCGAATGGAAGTCTGTGGTCATCCTGGTGCCCGTGCGCCTGGGCGGGGAGACTCTGAACCCTGTGTACGTGCCCGGAGTGAAGGAGCTCCTAAGATCTGAACTGTGTCTGGGCATCATGGGAGGCAAACCGAGGCACTCGCTGTACTTCATTGGCTACCAGGATGACTTCCTGCTCTACCTGGACCCCCACTACTGCCAGCCCGCCGTGGATGTCAGCCAGGCCGACTTCCCCCTGGAGTCTTTCCACTGCACCTCTCCCCGCAAGATGGCCTTCGCCAAGATGGACCCAAGCTGCACAGTGGGCTTCTACGCAGGAAACAGGAAGGAGTTTGAGACGCTGTGCTCTGAGCTGACCAAGATCCTCAGCTCCTCCTCAGCCACAGAGCGCTACCCCATGTTCACCCTGGCCGAGGGCCATGCTCAGGACCACAGCTTGGATGACCTCTGCTCCCAGCTTCCCCAGGCAGCCACACTGCGGCTGCCTCGCCCCGGGCACCTCCTCAAGGCCAAGCGGCCAAGCTTGGAGGACTTTGTGTTTTTATAATGGAGGGAATGGGGGAAAGAGGTGAGACTATTTATTTTTTTATTTATGTCACCTTGGTGTGTGTGTGGTGGGGGGACAACTCAATGCCAGAGCTGCCAGGGTTTCTGGCTCTCCACCTCCCCACCACCCAGCAGAGATCAGTCTGGTCTCAGCTGGAGGCTGCCACCCAGCAGCTGCACCCTCCTGGGCCCCCTCACAGGGCAGGGGGCAGGGCAGACACCCAGGAACCCACTCAGGGCCTGACCCAACATACTGTCGTGTGCACTGGACCGGCCGTGCCCTTCACTGTCCCCAGGCCCCTGTCTGGGGAACTGTCTGTTACCAGGGGCTAATAAAGCTGTTGAACTTGAAAAAAAAAAAAGGCTTCAGGCTGCAGAAAATGAATCTAAAAGAACTCTAATATGGCAGAAAAATAGAGTAGAGACAGAGACAGGTGTGAGATGAATCAGGAGATGTAGGCTTTAGAAGGCTTTATGTGTAGTAGAGAAATAATGTGATTAATTTTTTTAAAAACATTACTTTGCTGAGAGATAAGACTCTCAGGAGTTGCAGCCAGTGCCAATGGGTAGACAGATGTGAAGCACTATTTAGAAGCTCAGACATGGACATGCTAGCCATGATTTTACTCTCAACTTCTTTCACTGCCAAATTTCTGGAAAGAGCTGTGTGTGCTCATCATTCCCAGGACTTACGGAGCTCCCATTGACTCATCAGTCTGCCCTGGACCTGACATGTCACTGCATAGCAGCCACCCTTGTTTAGGGTGACAAGAACTTCTGGGTTGTTAAACTCATTGTAAATCTCAGTCCTCTTCTGACCTTGGTAGGATCAAAAGTTGTTGCCCACTCCTTCCTTCAAACACTGTACTCCTTGTAAAATACTTTAGTTGTGTTTAAAATATGTGGTGAATATTTAAATTAACAGTTTTAAGGGCTGGCCAAATAGCTCAACAGATTAAAGCACCTGCTTAGCCAGACACAGGGGCCAGGAGTTCTAGCCCGGGCGTGCTGTGCCAGCCCCACACCCCAGGGCCTGATGAGATGGCAATTGAGACTGTGTGTGGTGGCACACACCTGTAATCCCAGCGCTTGGGAGGCTGTAAGCAGGAGGATCACTATGAGGCCAATCTATGCAGTGAGATCCTGTAGACTCTGTAGACCCTTCCCTAAATATAAAAAACAAACAAACAAACAAAAACCCCAACAGTGTTATTATATACATGATGGGTTTTTTTTGGGGGGCGGTTGGTAAGGGGATCAAACTCAGGACCTTGAGTTTGCTGAGCAGGAGCTTATACTGTTGAGCTATCTCCCTGACCCTGACAGCTTTATTATAGTAAAATAATGCTTGTCATTAACTCCCTCAATATCCCACCATGCTCCAACTCTTTTTCTATAATTCTTGTCATTCTTTTTTAATTATTTTCTTTTTTTTTGACAACCCCAGCCCTTGCCATTCTTTTTTAATGGTATATGTTTGCGATATTTATTTAATTATGTTTACTTGTAAACTTGACACTTTTAGCAGTTCTGAAACCCATCTGGTGAGAGTTTTTATAAAATGTGAAGATATTTTGATCATTTCTCTCTCATTATTTGCCACTCCTTCTTCTCACCCTCCCCTTATCCCCTTCATCTTTTGTTGAGCATCTTCCCCAAAAAGTTAAAAGCAAAGGCACCATATTATACAGTGATACATGCAAATCCATGTTTATAGTAGCATAGTTCATAATAACTAAATTGTGGAAATAGCTTGTATACCTATGCACAGACAAACACGTAAAGAAAATGTACTATGTATGCAATATATATGTGCATATATATATATTACAGTGACAATGATAGTAATATATTTGTATATATATGCAAATATGTTATATTATATATTTTATATATGTATATATATATATATATTCATAAGGTTCTTCTACTAGTAGGTTCCATTCTACTCTCATCACCTTTTTTAAATTCTAAAAAATTTTTCCAGATTCCTTGTATGAAAAGAATTTAATATTTGACTTTCTAAGTCTTGGTTATTTTGTTTAATATGATGGTTGTTAATTCCATGAAAAAGAATTTATTTTTAAGGGTAATAGTATATAATGGTATATATATTGTGTATATATACCATGCTTTCTTAATCCATTCTTCTGTTGATGGGCGCCTAAACTCTATCCATAGCTTTGTCATCATTCATTGTTTTTTGAGTCCTTGCGCACAATCATTCCTCCTCAAGTAACATGGAATCTCTGTATTGTGTTTACCTGCTAACTATGTTGAACAATTTTTCATACACAATACTTACTGGACTTTTATCCTTCTTTTGAGAATATATGTTAAATTAACTCCTGTAGCGCAATTCCCATTTCAATGAATTATTGCATCATCCTCACAGTCCCCAGTGCCATAGTATATGCTACTGTAAAGTACCAAGGCACTTTAAGGTCTATAAGCAACTAAAAGTGCATTATCGCAACTCTGACAAGTTTTTTGGCCATGTTATTGATTTTTACATTGTCTGGCTGGACATCATCGAAACTTGGGCAGTGTCTCTAGTCTATCCCTAAAAGAGCTGTTCTATAAATGATTCATAGAAGAAAGGAAAAGCCTCTTCTCTATGCCATAAAATTTCATAGCTCCTAAGATTTAGTCTCATAGAAACACCGTAAGAACTGGTGTCACATTTCCAGAAGGAATGAGACAAATCAGCTGCTGGAAAGACTTGTAACTCTACACTGAATATGTGACTCTGAGAAGTCCTGACTACCTTACTGTGAAATCTCAATAACATGTAACACCTTTCCTAGAATCACTGAAAGGTCAGGGTTCACTGGGTGCCTTTCTGTGTGGTGCTATGAGTTGAACCCAGAGCCTTCATGCTGAACTACATCCCCAACCGTTTGAATATTGTTTGTTTGTTTTGAGACAAGAACTTACTGCATTGCTTAGTTGCCAGGTGAGTCTTGAGCTTGTGATGCTCCTGTCTTAGCTTCCCTGAGTTCTGGGCTTACAAGTGTATACAACCATGCCTGACCTTTTACTTATTTCTGTACCCAATATTTCTCTAGGTCACCTTTCCATCGGTAGCAACACTGCATTAATGGAATATCTACTCCATACTCGGCAGAGTTCCAAGTGCTAGAGGGTCAACAATGAGAGAAATAGAAGCAACAACTCTGCTCTCACAGAGCTTATCTTCTCAGGGCCTCAGGTAGCCCAGGCCATGAGTCCTTTCATCAAAATTACTTGAAAAAATTACTTACACATGTTGCCTGTACGTTCTCACCCACCCTCTCTTTTATCAAGTTTATCACAAATCCTGTCAAATGGCACTTGAGAAGATCATCCGTGATCAAAATTGCCAAATCACATTTTGTCTTTACCTTTATTGACCTCTACAGTGTACAAATCCCTAAACTGGCTCGTCCTTCCTGAAACACTTTATTCTTGTCAGTTCCATGACTCCCCAGTCACCTGATTGCTCTTTGGCTCTCCAAAGGTCAGCATGTGCCAGGCGTTAGTTCTCAAGGCTCCCTACAGTTCTCTAAGAGTCCACCTATTCTTTTATTTTATTATTTTTTATGTATTTAGTACAAGGTCGGCACAGTCATACTACATAGATCGGACTTGTAGTGATTCTCCTGTTTTCAGCCTTCCAAGTGCTGGGATTACAGATGTGCACCACCACTCCCAGTCTCAGTCACCATCTCAGAGCACCCTGGGTTCAGGGCTTGCACAGCATGCAGGAGATTGAACCCCGGTCTCTGAGCTCTGCCAAAGCAGCTGTTTTAGTCCATTGAGCTATCTGGCCAACCCAAGTCCATCTATTCTAATGCCTACTGCATTCTGATGGTCTTAAATGATTTCAGTGTTCGCCCAATGGACATCTATTGGATTATGGATCCCAATGTTCATCCATTGGATGACCTTAAATGGCACCTATAAACATACAACCCCCAAATATCTATCTCTAGCTTAGATGTTCACCTTCCCAAAGCTTCCTCATCTCCCATGCTGTTGTAAACAGAGCCATAAGATTCTGGAAAACCTAATTCCATCCATGCGATTCCTATAATTTAGACTCTGAGTAAGTGGCCTAACATAAACCAGCTAACAGTTCTATTCTTTAGATTGCAGCAATTTCTTCTAGGGGAGGCATGCAACTCAGGCTAGTGCAATTACAGGGACTTTGGGGCCTTATCTGCTTACAACAGCATGGGAGATGAGGAAGCTTTGGGAAGGTGAACATCTAGGCTGGAGATAGATATTTGGGGGTTGTATGTTATATAGGGATACTGGCTGATTTGTATAAGATGGTCAGGGAAAACCTTGCTCAGGAAGTGATAGTTGTGTTCAGAAAGTATACTATTTCCCCGACACTATACTATTCCTCTGTTTTATTTTCTACAAATCATAACTATAGAACATTGACATGTTTATCTTCTTTCACCTCAGTCTACCTTTTCAATTTCACAATGTCAGAGCTGAGCCTATCCTCTCAGCCTCTGTATTAGAAGAACACATTAGGGTATGCAACAGTGTCGGCTGGATGGGTGAGAAAGTATTCAAATGCCATAGATGTAGCATATCTATCAAGGGAGAGGCAAAGGTTATCACACATCTAACACAGATGGCAGCACAGGCATCTCAGATAACAATGACAAAACATTGTGCAATTCTAGATACCTCATTTCCCCAACAGCAAACATACTTATGTCATGACCCAGGAAAATCTCCAATTTTGACAGGAGTGACCCTTGAAGAACTCACTGCTGGGGATGTTGTTGAAGATATGACCCACTCATCCTATTTATGGGGACACTCAGAAGCTGAAGGGCTGAAAAGGTAAGGTGAGGCTCTGAAAGTAAGACGCAGACTGGCCTCAGGCCTGCATCAGAGCGCTCAGGCCTCATCACAGCTTGCTTTGCCGAGCAATTTGACACGGTCGATTCCATTAGCACTCTAAGCCAACCCACAGCCCCACTGCCCTAGCTACAGTAGGCTCCTAGAACCTTGCCACCGCATTCCTTCCTGCTTTGCAGTGTTTAGCAAGAACAACATAATCTAACTTGGTCATGTATATGTTCTTTTAAAAAATTACTAGTACATGTTTGCAGCACATTATGATTACATTCGTTGTGAGGAGTGGGTCCACATACATTACACATCTTCATTTTTAATGACTTTTTTCCTTTCCTTTCTTCCTTCTCTCCATTTCTTGGTCCTCTTCTCTTTTGTAAAAGGTTTATCTCCCTGTTTCTTACTATCCATCTTTTATTTATATTTTGGGTTTCTTGTATAGGAGAAATTGTGCCCTGTTTAAGCATATATTTCTGATCTATCTTA